TTTTGAAAGCCTCACATGAAAACCTCTTAATTTTTGCATTTCAAATAAGTTACTTTTAATTAATCATGATGTTTACACAGACTGGGTGAAATTGTTGAGACTCTGAATGTCGCATTTGCAATGACAACCCCCACACACACCCACACACACACACATACTTGCATCTGGTCAGTCAAACTGAGTTATGCATGGACTAATCCAGCTGCCAGAGTGGTCTGATGTTAAGTTTTTTCAGCTGAAAAATAATGATATACAAATATGCAAGCAAAAACATGGCTAATACTTGTATACAGAATTGTCTAGTGCAAATAAAGTGTCCCTTGGGTAGAATGAATAATTCCAATTCAATTAAAATTAATTAATCTGTGGATATAAAAAAACAAAATAAGTTCTAAATAAACCTTTGTGAGACAAATTCTTAGTGACATGAAACCACTTTTATTAACTCAAAGCCTCATGGTTTTAACGTGGAAATAATAACTAATAGTAGAAAATTATAAAATAAAAGACCACAAAGATAAAAAAAAAAAAAAAAACACAAAGATAAAACTCAGATATAACATCTAAAGAGCTGATTATGGTTTCCTTCTATGAAGTATATTTCATTCAGGGCCTGGCTTTTCCCATAACTAAGGCTCCTTCATCAACTTACTATGTACTTAACACTGTAGCACACACTATTTTGCTCGCCAGAGAAACCAGGCTGCCACAGATCTTTTGGAGAGTTGGGGATTTTCTGCCACATAAAAGCCTAAGCTTTCATAAACCATGAATACCAAACCTGTACGTCACTGACATACAATCGACTCTACTGTGAGTGAAATGAAGCTGATGTTTTAGTAAATGAATATATGAACTTAATCCCACACTTTACTATGTGGTATACACTATTGATGATTTACTTGCATGAGTATGATAGTTTCTTGAAGCTAAATGTAACATTTAGAACATGAACTTGTTTTGATTCTTACCCGAGCACTTAAGGGCACTAACACAGGTTTGAAATGTAATTTCTAGATTTTAGATTGATGTATATGAAATATGAAAAAAACAGGATTGTTGAATTACAGTGAGACTAGTGTGCCCCAACATGTGAATGTGAACACTGTAAAATTTCCCAATGTCAGTCCTGTCTCTCACACACAGACACACACAAACATACACATACAAACCTTCAGAACTGGAAGACTTCAGCACCTAACCTCAGAATTGTTCTTCTGGAGGAAGATCACTTGCTTGCTTAGATACCTTGTTAAAAGCCTTTAGATAATTTACACTATAAAAGCTTCATTTGGTGCGCTAAGACCTTATTAAACCATATAAACTAAGAATTGGAAATTACTATAAATGCAGGAAAAAACATTGATTACTTCAGGACGGCAATTCCAATTCCTAAGGGGCCACTATCCTGCAACTTTTAGATTCATCCTTGGTCAATCAAATGGCAGAGTTTCCTCAGTATACAATCAATTCCTCGAGAGTCCTCTTAGTCATCCAATTACTTGATTCAGGATTGTTGAACCAAAGGCACATCTAAAAGTTGGAGTTTACTGGCCCTTTGAGTTTTTAGTTTTCACTATCTAAGTCATTCTGTTTTGTTGATCTTTGGTTTATTTTCCATTATATTCAAGCAGTTTTAAGTAACACTCTGTTGCCCATGTGTGCCTGTCTCCTTTCCCCTTGCTCCCTTTTAGTCACCTCTATCCACACCTGCTCCATAGCATCTGATTATCCCAGTCTTTTTTCTGTCTCCCATATATACTCTCCCTGTGCGGTTCTTCAGTGCTGGTTCCTTGTTGTTGTTGTTAGTTGCTTCCTTGTCTCTGGATGTTTTTTGGTTCTCAGTATTTTCATGTTTTTTAATGTTTGCCTCATTTTTTCATTAAATCTACAAGAACTAATCTCTGCCTCACTCAACTCTGCATTTGGGTCCTGAAGCAACCACCCCCCCACATTGACACAAATATTTTTATTCCCAGTTCATAACTGGTTACTCTCTAAATCCTTAAACATTATCTTTCCCCCCCTCCGCAAGGATATTTGCCTCAAGATAAACAAACAAAATCTATAATTTATGATATAATTGTTATGGTCAATTTATTCATACACAAACGTCATCTTATCAAAACTCTCCCTACAATCATAGCATTTAAAAACGAAATAAATACACTTACTTTGTCCTTAAAGACAATGTCTACCACCAATGCTAAAAGACTCTATGCTTTTCTGTGTGTTATTCTTAATTACCCCTTACATCTTATATTCTTTATCTTTTTCCCTGTAGTGATTGCTCTTTGTCAATGTTCAATTCTTTATATCTAATTTACTATTGCATAGCTTTATTTAAATTTTTTGACTATTTTTTTTCTTTTTTAATTGCTTTTTGTACAATTGGCTTAACTAGGTATTTTTTGTTGTTGTTAAAAGAGAATTTGCAAATATATTTTTTATATACGTACATTGTTTAGATGTACTACCCCTATTATATCATTACATCTGCTTATATTGGTTCATGCTCATGCTCCTTTATCATAGAAGTATCTGAGGATGAAGTGGGTCAACATTTGAATGCAATTCATAAGGAGTGTAATATATAAAGTAACTCTAGAATCCCACAACTGATGCATACTCTCAATACTGTGTTTCATAGTAGTGAGCTTTCTATTTCCATTTCTGATAGGATTTCCTCAAAGCGCGCGCATGCGAGTTCACGAGTCTACGGAAACCGCGGCAGACCAAACCAGATGAAAGTGCGCATTCAGCTCGGCAAAGAACTCATGCTCTTCCTCAACACTGAAGTCCTCAGACATTTTTCTTTCATTGTTTCTTTCTTTGCACAGGTAAACAGCACATTTCTTCTTCTACGCTTGCATTATCGGCAGAGCAGACGCTGAATGCGCACTTTCATCTGGTTTGGTCTGCCGCGGTTTCCGTAGAGTCGTGAACCTGCATGCGCGCGCTTTGAGGAAATCCTATACACTACTGTTTATGCTCTAAAAACATTCTAAATGACTTTGTTTCGAGAAAATTATGGATGCTACCCACTCAGGACACTTGGAATACATTGGACGAGCAGTATGGAGGAATATTTACACTTTTTGTGGACTTTTATGGACCTTTCTGCCTCGGGCGCCATAGACCTCCATTATTTGAATGTCAGCAGACAGCAAGAAGCCTCCCAGATCTCCAGATGCATTTGAGATATCAAAAAAGTACTCCAGAGTGTTGTTCAGCATGGGGGTGAGTAGAAAATGAAGGCTAATCATGTTTTGGGTGTACTATTCCTTTAAACTCCTCCACTTGGGGCAGGACACCCCCCCTGACCCGGAGAAGGCCATGGCCTCGGATTTGGAGGCACTGATCCCCATCCCGGCTGCTTCACACTCGGCTACTTACCAAAACTTACAAAAAATTGTTCCACAAAATCAGTAAAAGAATAAATAAATATAGAAGACAAATTCAAAATATTGAAATATTGGAATTATTGGACTGATTTCAGCCATCGCTTTTAAGGCAACAATTGTAAATTGTTATTGAAATTGTAAATCTAATATCTTTGCGCTGGAATTTTTTACTGAGAATAAATACATGCACGTTGGTCCTTTAGGATCAACTTGAGGCGCTGATTCTGTGGCTTTCTTTTCTCCAACAGTTTTCCTCGACACTGTCATCATTTCCTCTCTCTGACTGAAATCTTCTCATCTTTATACTTACACGAACGTCTTTTTTTTTTCATCCTCACTCAGTTCTTCAGCTGTGTCACTTCCAGTGAAACCTGTGATCATCTTGGTCTTTTAATAATTCTTCTTTTTTCTAATCTTCTCATCCCTCATTTTCTTCACAGAAGAAACTAGAAATGTCTCCATATTCCCTTTTCTCATCTGCAATGTGCAAGCATTAAGATTTGGAAACAAATTTCCCTATTAGCCAGTCAATCACAATATGAAACCAGAAATCTTTACCACATTCACACACGTGAAAAAAGCAGTTCTCTTTATAAAATCTTACAATGGCAACAAATGAACTATTTTATATTATATATTACATATGGTCTAAAAATACATATTATACTCTATGTTTTAGGTTAATCAATATATCTTTTCAAGGCTTTAAGGGGCTTTTGAACAAACAAGGGATCAGTAATTCCATTCCATTTTTTTTTTCAATTATATAACAGCGATGGAGCAGCTGGATGGGCAAGGCTCTACTTTAGTTGCCCCCCTGTAGATCTGCCCCTGGTGTTGTTTATCTCTCCTTTACAGGGGAAAACACGGATCCCCCCCAAAAAAAACCATGTGCCTACACACACTTTAGGGCTATTTAGAGAGATCTCTTATCATATTTTGTTGGACTATTGGATGAAACAAAAAGTACCTACACTAAGGGGGAAAATGAACATTCCATGTAGGACCCTAGACTAAGATTAAAACCCTAAAGTGCCTCAAGTGTCTAAATATGTGATTTAAATTTTAACAAAATGCATTTAACTATAACACATTCTATTTGTATCTATCAATATACTTCCTGTCCAACTTGAAAACATAAAAGCTAAATAACAGTCCAATGGTTTTATTATATATTTTCTAATTAATTTATAACTTCCCTCCCCATAAACCAACTTCATAAAATCAATTAGGAGCCATTAATTTCATAGTTAGACAAAGTCAATAAGGGTTTTTCTGCCACAACTATAAAATGCATATTTACTCTTAATCTGAAAAATGTAAATTATGACTAGATCAGGTCAGCAAAGTGAACAGGTAGGTGAATATTAGGTAATGATCAAATAAAAAGAAAACATCTAACACATCATGCCTCTTTGGTTGGGCTGCAGGAGAGCTTTACAGAGCTTGGTGCATGTAGACCTTCAGACTCTTCATTCTTTAAGCCTAGGACTAATTTCCAGTCCTGCACTTGGGTCTGGGTAAACAGCACCGCCCCGATGCTTGTTTGTTTTAAGTGTGGACCAATCCATCGCGCAGCGCCGGGCTCGATTGACACTGTCTGCTTGATCTACTACTGCGGATTGCTCAGAATAACAAGACTGCTCGCTAATTCCCGTCTATCGGGGCTGTCGGCGAAACACCGAGAGAGTAGGGTCCAAAAAAAAAAAAAAACCCAACAGGGCAGGCAAGAACGCCGCGCCGCCGTTGTCCGCACCCCAGAATGGCTTCAGGAGATCTCTACGAGGTAGGATAAAAAACCGTCCGCGGAGTAGGCTCTGTGAAATAGACCAATAATGGAATTAGGAAGTAAAGGGAAGGGCGTCACGTATGTAAAAAAAAAAAAAAACGTGTCCTAAGCCCTTTAACAGGCGAAACTAACCAGCCTCAAGCCCTAGGCTTCATTAATGTTTGTACTTAAAGTCGCTCCTGCTGTACTTTGGCGTGCTTCCTCTCGGCTGTGGCACACAGGCTGAGATATAAGGGCTCAACTCCTCAGTGTGACGCCGAGTTGAAAGTAAAGTGACAGCAGCCGCGCTGAGCGGACGGACGGAAGGACGGGGCATGGTGAGCCGCCGCAGACTGAGCGATGGGCTCCTAAGGTGCGCACATCATCTGCCAACAGATACTTTGTCATGCAGTATTAACAGCTGAGCGACTGTTTATTCCGACTGAGCCATACAAGGTGTCTGTTTATGTTTACAGAGCGCTGAAAAGTGGCAGGAGTGTGGAAGCTGATGCCTGGATATGAAAAGTTGCCCCTAAATCGTTTGCATTGAGGTCACACTTCTCACTCCAGCATCACTATAAAAACAGCCGTTTGTTGACCTAAAGCCTGTTATATTGTCATATTTTGCAATTCAGAGAGATTGAGGTTTGATTACATGGTGACGTCCCGTTTAAGACAAACAAACACACCCTTTCAACCCTTTTTATAAACCTGTGAGTGATGCTGTGCAGATCTGCCTCAAAAAGTTACATTGAGGAAAAAGTGTGAGTTTGATTGTTCATGTAGAGCAGTGTTTTTCAACCCTGGTCCTCAAGGAACACTGCTCTGGATGTTTCAGGTGTTTCCATGCTTCAGCACACCTGATTCAGGTAATTGGAGTTCAGAAAACCCTGTTAATCTGATAGCAATTGATATGAGGTTCATGACAGCATAGGCGGTTCTAGACAGGGGCCAACGGGGGCCAGTGCCCCTGTTGATCATGTCCCGGCCCCGGTTATGGCCCCTGACATAATACTCAAAGAAATCCTAATGATGATCTGCGCTGGAACAGAGATGGTTACTGATTGGTCCTTTTGATCTATTTCAATTAATAATTTTTTTAAATTCTGTTTTTCTCATTTTTTTTTTAATAAGGTGATAGCTTCAGCAGTATAGGATCCCAGTTTTCCTCTGCTAAATGTTTTTTTAAACAAATTAAAAAAAATACTCTAATTTTTACAGCTGAATTTATCAGTCTTCCTTGAGCTCTAATTCAGATTTTATTGAAAACTTAATGTTTAACTTAAATGAAGTCAAAAATATGAACAACTCCTAAATGATGAATGTATATTGACCTAATAAGACATAGAATTTTTCTTAAAACTAAATTAATAGAAATTTCACCACATGCAGCTCTCTTAATATATTTGACTCCCTTGCCCTGTTTTTTATTTCATGCTTTTCTGTGGCCCCCATGAAAACACGCTGGCCCCCTCTTGGTCCCCTGGTATATTTGGTCTAGAACAGCCACTGCACGACAGCCTGGAAACATCTAAGACATGCAGGGCAGTGTGGAGCGGGGTTATTATTCTCAGACATGGACAATATCTGTTAACTAAGACAATCTCAGAACTGTATTATATAAATTATGTTTTTTCCTAACATTTATTTGTTTCCAGTTCTCTGTCCTATCTGCAGAATAATGTACAGCAGCCTAGTTCCACTGTGAACATCATTGCATCAGTAATGTTATCCTCACTGTCAGTGATATATTTCTTTTGCTTTGTCTATCAAATTTGTAAAGTGGCTTGCTCAGAACGCACTTATGCTTTTGACATGTAGTAGATACTGTTGTATGTATCAGTTGGTGTTTGGAATATTTTTAATATTATTTTGAGTGTTAAATTGTGCTTAGGTATGAGTGTGTGCATGATTGTGTGTCTTTGTGTTGCCCTGCAATAGGCTGTACTGTGCCTTTTGCCCATAGAAATTCAGTTTTTTGGCTTGTTAATTGTATTCAAATATCTACATAGAGGTAAATGAAAATTTATTTATTCATTACACAAAGGGAAACTCGTACATATTCACTGAATATGTAGAAAAAAGGGCAAGCCTCTTGTATATATAATTTAGATGTCTCTACATTAAGATAAAGATCCAGGGTTCAATATCTGCGAAAACTAAATTACATAATGCCAGGTATACACTGTGTGATTTTCTGCTATCACACATGGAAGATGACTGTGGAGAATTCTTACAGAAATCTCCGGGTTAGGCTGTAATTCTGCAGCCTTAAATTGGACTGATGGACAGTTGTTAGATTCCTGCCACCAAGAAAAAGCTGTGATAAATATCTGATAGTATCAGATATTTATCACTCTGACATGTCTGCTGATCAGCCAATAGAAATGCAGCTGCCGCTTGAGATGAGCCAACCATTAGAGAAGAAAAACGGAAGGTGATCTATTTCCAGGATTTTGTATGAGCCACAGGAAAGAAGCATTTGCAAAAAATATCAGAGAGTATCGTGTATCAGTTAATCATAGCAGTAAGTGTTATAGATGTAAAAACTGCTAACAAATGAATGTGAAGTTCCTGCATTGCCTGTATTGAAGTTTTTATGAACATGAGCTGGTCCCACCCAGTGTGCTCTGATGCACACTGGGTCTCCGTTCTTGCTCAGATATCCCTTTGCTCCTGTCTGTTCTCCAAACTCAGTGGGTGTAGGAAGGAACCATAATCCAGCTGTAGTTCCATGAGTCCCTGAACCGGGAGCATATCTGGGGAATATGGTGGACCCAAGGATGCAGACGCTACTGTTCTTTCCATAATGAATAAAATCCAGGTCCACCATGCTGAGTTGAAGCCAGCAAGAGGCAGATAGAAGCTCCTTATACTTGATAAAGTGATGAATCGACAGGAGTTGAGGTTGTTGCCCACCATGCAAGATGCTGGTGATATGTCTGTGGAAGCTCCTGAATGTGGTGACTGTTGCTGGAATCACATTTGGTGTGAACGCACCATAAGACAAGAGTGTTTTAGGGATGTTCTCCGCTAAATGGAAATATTAATAATATTACGAGCGCTAGTGTAACAAGTGTTGTTATATGTTGCTTTTTTAATGATACATTTTATGAGGTTGCTAGCAAGCGCCACAAGCAGGTAGCATAAGTATCCTCTATCACATTCTCCATTAAATGTCTTGTTCAACATGTAGGTAAGTTGTGCTGAATGCACATTATCAGCTCTCTCCATGATCTTACTTGTGCTGAGATGGCAACATGCAAGCATTAACATAAATAATCTAAAATATTACACTGACCAAAATTAAATATTTATAAGCTTTTTTTATGTGCTAAGTTTCTTTTATTAATTACTATAAAATTGGAGTCAGCGATTTAACATATAGCACATTGAGTATGAGGCAGTAATAAGTCAATTTAAATGACTTGGCATTTAAAGTGATTAATTAATTGGTTCCTTGGTTATTTATGTTAATTTGTTTTTAATGTTAAATGTAACCAGCATTCCATTGCTTATTTTAGGATTCACTGATTATGTAATGACAATTCACCTTTAAGGGTCATAGTCATGCCGTATGCCTATACAAAAAAAGAGCAAAATCATGATGAAATAAGGTTATATATTTCAGGTGTCCTGATAAAGACTTGATAGTCCTTTTTGAGTCTAAATAGAATTACAGCAAAGAGTGCAGTTAGCAGCCAGAAACAGACATTTGAGCCATTTGCCAGCAATTCAGTATTTTATTGTTTGAGAATTTTGCAAAATCAATATATTTAACATTCATAACTTTCGCTTTTTTTTAGCATTTACTTGTATTTTGCTAATTAATGTAGTTTTTGTTTGGATTAATTTAGAATTAGCAGATTCAATTCAACTTCAATTCAGTTTATTTTTATAGCAGCAATTTACATCTCAAGGTACTTCATACTAGGGCTGGACGATAATTCAATAATAATATATATCGATCAGTAGAAGTTTGGTGCAATAGAAAAAAAGAGTCGATAAAAGTTAGATATAAAAACACATTTTACTTCCTTTTTATTGTAACCTATCATGTAGCTTGATCCTACAGTCACCACTTCCTCCCAACCAAGCGCAATCGCAGACCCAGGCATGCCATCAAAGATGAAAAGATGGTGCAGCAAGGAGAGGTGGAGAAAATTGTCCCAAAAAGGGGTTTTAGTTGCTTGCCAGTTTAGCAATATCTCAGTTATAGGAAGTGAGAGAAAAACCAAGCCACAGTGATTTGTAAAATTTGCAGGGTAGTCTGGTACCACAACCAAATTAGCTGTATCGTCCCCGGTGCATTTCCACATCGTCGTAGGAATCTTCTGGAAGTTTAGCTAAAACAAAGCAGGTAAAGCATGTTAAATTGAGCTTTCTTCTTTGTGATGAATACGACAATGCTTCCAAGCGGCATATGGACACCGCTCATGCAGTAACATGCTTCATATGGTTAGCAGCAATGGTTATGCTTCTGTTGTCTGCATTTGAAAAACCTGGCTACAAACAGCTGCTCACCACTCTTGATCCCTGATATAAAGTTCTAGGATGCAAGTATTTTTCTAACTCAGCGCTCCCTAATTTGTACAATGATTGCAGGGAATCGGTGCAAAAAGCTGCTATCTCTGTCTCACTGCGCCACAAAGTCGGACCTCTAGTCAAGTGGCACATCCAACCTCTACCTCAGCCTCTCAATTCACTTCATAGACAGAGAATGGAACCTGAGAAGTAAGAGTTTAATAACATAACTCAGGTCTCTTAAGTTGAGTTATTTTTCTTTTTTTTTTTATTCAAATATGGTTAAAAGTGTGGTTACATAAAGTTTTAATTTGAATTCTGTGTTTCTGTGTTCTTTATTAAAAGTAAATCATTTAGCAATATTAAGAAACGACTAGAGCTACTCTTGAAATATAGATAATTATCTAAAATATTTAAAACCATATCGATCAATACACATTTTTCTTTATCGATATGCTTTTTTCTATATCTTATAGCCCTTCTTAATACATTCA